GTAACAAGGACGCTACTAGGAACAAGTGCATCGCTACTAGGAACAAGAGCCTTACTAGTAGTAACAAGGACGCTACTAGGAACAAGTGCATCGCTACTAGTAGCTGATCGACTTGAACGGGTTGCTGAGTTGAAAACGAATGAGAAGATGCATGAGATCGCGTGCAGCGAGCCTAACTAATACGGTTCTGATTTTTCCGAAATCGCTTCGATACTAGTGCCTTACTAGTAGTAACAAGTGCCTTACTAGTAGTAACAAGGACGCTGCTGGTAACAAATAGCTTCGATATGCTTCGATTCTCGAGCCCATCGCTATTAGGTTGGAGGCCTTCGCCCTTCGATTCTCTAGCTTCCATGTCCAGGTCTTGAAAGCTTTGAATTTGCCAACTGTGAGGCTGTGCTTGTCAACGTGCTCGGCGCAGGTTCAACGAAACCATGCAAGCTCTCTAGGTGCAGACAATGATCATCGCGCTGCCGAAGGGCATGGTGAACGTGAGATGCGCGTGTCATTCAAACATGCAACGATGCTTCCCATCTTAAATGCTTGGAGGCGTTCATTACAAACGAGTGCGCTTCCAATGCTTGGCAGCTGTTACACAAACAAACAATATGCACAAGCATTTTTCATATATTGAACGCTTTGCACCTTCATCACACACACAAACATGCAACCATGCTTCCCTTCTTGAACAATTGGCAGTTTCATCGCAAACAAACATGCAACCGTGCTTCAAAGTCTTGAATGTGTGGCAGATTTCACACTTGAATGCTTTGCACCTTCGTCACAAACAAGCGTGGCTTCGAATGCTTTGTTGCTTTCATCAAATACAAACAAACAAACCAACAAACAAAGAAAGATGCACAAATTGTGTTCATTTTGGAGTCTTTACATCTTCAGCACAAACACACTTGCAAACACTGTCCCATCCTGAATGCGTTTGTTTCCGAGCATTCATGATGCATGCCAATATGTTCTTCAAAACATCTTCTTTTCAAAAGATCCGTTGCGACTGGGTAACCATGTGGCCATTTTTGAACGCTTTGCAGCATTCATGTTGGATACCAAGCATGTTACTGTATTCAAACAATGGGCACATGCTATGTAATGAGACATCTTTGGAGAAGTTCGGCCAGGCAAATCGCGTCGACGCATTTGACCTTTCGTTCTGGAAGCGTGCCCCCTACCTAAAAGCGATGGCCTCCAACCTAAAAGCGATGGCGTCGAACCTGCACCGAGCCACAATTTGCACCAACCACGGTTTACACCAAACCATGGTCAATTACTCCAAACCACGGTTTACACCACACACCGTTACAAGGAATCCCGGTGAACACCAACCAGCGTTTACACCAAACCACGGTTTACACCGCGGGGATCAACGCCCCTTAGTCTGATTCAGGGGTTTGTAATATACTTGTAACTTATAACTATTTGTCACTTGCATGGTACCGTTTCATGTTTTGAACGATCATCCGCCTGTTTGTTGGCAAAAGTTATGACTGTTTTATGGTGGCATGAACGATCCTTATTGATTTTGGAGGCTTAATCCCTCAAAAGCGTGCGTGGGCCTTTCCGCTATCTCTCGCCACATCTCGTTTCCAGACCCCCTCCAACCCAAAAAACGATGGCCTCCAACCTAAGGACTATGGCCAAATGGTTGCCTGTGGTTGCCTAATGAGGGCATCGCTACTAGGAGCAAGAAGCTACTAGGGGCTCCTGGCCTTACTACTAGGAGCGATCGGACGCTACTAGGGGCTCCTGGCATCGCTGCTAGGAGCACTCTTACTACTATAGTAACAATCTCCACGATGGGTTTTCACCAGTGCCGGTCTTTTCTTTGCCGCCAGTTTGGAGGTCCAAATCATGTGAAATTGTTATTCCAAGTGTTATATATTCCAAGTTGTTTCATGTCATGCAATTTGCTTGTTTTTGTGCATGTTTTCCTTTTGATGCCCTTTAACTCTTCAGGATATTGATTGCAAGCGATTAGAAAGCGAGGCGGGCAAGAGGGAGAGCAGTTAGGTTTTTGAAACGTTAGAGTTTGTGGAGTGGAGACTCGCTCGAGTCTGCTTCGTAGCGGCGACTTGGAAACGCTTGGAAGGTGGCCCAGCTGCGAAATCTCCTCGTCGAGAAGGAGCAGAGGGGAGCAGAGCGGAGCCGTTCTGGGCAATGTGAAAAGACGATAGGTCTTGGGAGAAACCAAAAAAATGGAACAAATACAAACAGCACAGAACATATTCAGTGGCATGAGACTTAGGCAGTTTTTTAGGGGAGTGTTGCATTTGCAATATGTTCCAGCATGTTCCAGCCAATCCAGTTCAGACAGAAGGAGAAGAACAAAAGCTCGAAGAACTTTTTTTCGACATCTTCCTTTCAAAAAAGGCATGCCAGTCTTGCAGTGTTTGGGCCACATGGCATTCAATATGACTGCTCATCTGTTAGGCACAGGAAGAAGCACAGAAATCGTGCTGTAGATGTATATTTCGATGCACTAAGATTTTGTTACACCAATCCTAGGTTTGCTGGGATCTTAGTATGGACTGGCCTTTTCACAACTTTGGACATAACAAATTGTACTTCGCTGTGAGGAGATTCGATTGCAGGAGGCACTGGACGCGCATCAAACTGAGGCTGCCCGCGAAAGCCCGCGTCGCTATACCTTGGGCGATATGCTCATATGCCGTATACATCAGGTATGCTAGATGCGGAAACAAATACTTGTATGATACTTGACAACGGAGTGGAGTTGTGTATCATGCTTGCAGAGCGTTTGGGCTGGAAAAAAAACAAGACAAAAGACATATTGCATTATTACATTGCCTTACTAGTAGTAACAAGAAGCTAGTAGTAACAAGTGCCACGCTAGTAGTAACAGGTGCCTCGCTACTAGTAACAAGAAGCTAGTAGTAACAAGTGCTACATTCACAATGCACAGCAGCACGACCTCGCGAGACTTCATGAGACTTGAAGTATAGATAGCTACTAGTAGCTTCTGGGCATCGAACAAGGGCTACCTACGGAGCGATCGGAGGCTACGCACGTTAGTCGGAAAGTATGGCACACTCGGACTCGTGGTTCGGTCCCAATGAGACGTGGCTTCGACGGCATCTGGCTACGCCGTGAGTTCCATGCGGATTTTGGTGTTTCAAACGCCAAAGCTGACGTATGTCCAGACATTGGAGTTTTTGCTGCGAGAGACTTCTGAACAGAAAGTGGATCTGGCCATTTTGCCCGAGTTTGCACTTGAACATCCCGCACAATGCAGCAACCAATCGGAACTTTCGTACGACAACGTGTCCATTATGATGCTTTCGCGTGTGGCGAAGCATCGACAAATGTTTGTGGTGCTCGGGAGTGTGGAGGAGCGTCAACCTACAGGGGTGTTTGACACCTGTGTGGTGTTCAACCGGTCTGGAGAGATCATTCTACAATACCGGAAACATGGCTCGGATCGAAACTCCTTTGAGACTGAATATGGTACAGTGGGAGTTTTGCTGGGAGCTGAAGTGGAGGATGAGAGGTGGTCCACGCTGTTGGCACTGTCACCGTCCCTGATCTTGAATCCCTGCAATGCCCCTATGGAACTGGACACTGCTCTAGCAAAAGCACACCCCGAGTTCCCAGGCAGCAAATACACTTAGATATGAGGTCTTGGGCTCGCAAGAGCAAAGATCAGTCGCTGGAACACCGCTGCACTCACACTTTAACTCGTTGGCTCTTTGGTGCACGACACAGAATGGGAACGGCTTGAAGAATACTTAGGATCACAGGGAGAAGGGGACTGAGTCTTCAATGCATTGGCACTTGATCTCGATAGCCCTTTAGTGCACAACACCGGATGAGAAAAGCTTGAGAATCACAAGGATGTAGCGTCCTTGTTCCTAGTAGCTTCTTGCTCCTAGTAGTAAGGCCAGGACCTAGTAGCGTCCTTGTTCGTAGTAGCAATGCCAGGAGCCCCTAGTAGCTTCTTGTTTCTATAATGTACGTCGAGAGAGCGTCCCCTCTCGATATCCTAGCTCTGAACCACTCTCTGAACCTGGACCTTTGTTGGCTCACGCCAGGAACAGATCCATGAGCCCCCTGCATGGTTAAAATTTCAACAGGACGTGTGATGGGTTCCCTTAGAAACAGGGGGACTCACACTTAGATGGTTGCCCGCAAGAGCTAGGATCAGAATGAAGTCCCCCTTGACTTGATGAACAGAAAGAACGAGAACCGAAAGGTGGCTGAGTCGATAGACTTGTAGATGTTGAACACTGTTGGGAAATGCATTAGCCGCTTACTGCAAAACACAGAATGGGACAGCTTGTCAACAGTTGCATAAAAGAGCAGGTACATGGTTGAGCGTCCTCAACCACTTCCCTTCCAGTGACCCAGCTTCGTTGGATCAGGTTACTCCCTGGAAGCCTGATCCCCCTGCCTCTTTTTGCTCGCGCTGTTTTAACTTGAGGTTGGTTCCTAGTAGCAAGGCCAGAAACTACTAGTAGCATCCAGCCTCCTAGTGAAATCTACGGCAGGCAAACTTACCAGGTACAAACCTTGGAAACAGGTGTTAACACACACTCACAGAAGCCAATCCATGAAAAATTCTTTTACGTCATTCCTGAGTTTCAACTTTGGAAATGACAACAGTGTTGAAAGAACATCACAAGTTGAAATGACGTAGATTTGCCCAATTGCCACGACTCAGGCTTCAAGTCGCCGCTTGGCACAAAGGCTTTCGGCGCACGGAAGCATCGGTGCAAAGCCGTCTCCGCACAGTCTCTGGCCATGGCGGCCCTGGTTGCGTCTTCATTCGTTCAGATGCACCTCTGCGGCAGGGTGGCGCTGGCTTGTCGATGTTGGTAGAGGCCAATCGATCAGTGCTGGCACCAAGCTGGGGAGCGTGTTTTTTCTTGCTGGAAATTGGAGTTGGTGCACGCAAGTTGCCCAAGTGGCGAACGTTGACCGTGGATGAACTCATCAAGGCCGCTTCACAGGATCGTGAGATTTTGAAGTGTGACACGGTCGAAGTGGGACCACGCTATCGAGTTTGGACCCTGCGTACACCAACATTGGCAAAAGCTGCTATGATCCAACGAGCTGAGTGGAGCAGCCTTTGGCTTGAGCCCGAGACTGAGGCTCTTCCTGCCAAACTGGTACATCTGTCTTCGTGTTTTTTGTGGCCCATCCTAACCCGAGATGGGCGACAAGTCTATGTGGTGGCCGAGAGCAGTCCTCCCATCATCACCCTTTGGGATTTGCGTCATCGTCGAGAGTGGCAAAGCTTTGAAAGTGACGCCTTTGCCGAGATTACGGCGCTGGGAGCAGGGCCAACCTATGCGCAGTTCGCGGTCGCTGGGCACACGGAGGCGGAGGGAGAAGACTTAACACCTCACGATGTTCTTACCCCTGGGATTCCTTTCCGAGCTGAATCAGAAGTGCAGGCTATTGCCCGCGCTCGTAACACGGTTTAGTTGGCCATGCATGTTCCACAATTAGCCAATCAAGCCTGCTCCTCGAGTACAAGTATATTCGATCTTCTTCCGGCGTCTAAGAAGGCAAAGCTAGCCTAATATGTGCAGACAAGGTGCTAGCGCTTGTGTTTTTCGGGCCATGCTTCGTTCCAGCGGACACTCGCCCAATACGGACACTCAGTGACACTCACGTCATTGGAGGCCGTTCAAGACGGATCGCCATGCTTTCCTTGCCGCCAGCGGGTCCTCTTTCGCAAGTAGGTCAATTGCTCGGGCAATCGGTGACTGGAAGCTGAAAGTTGCCACATGCCGCGCTTAACTTCTTGTAGTGGCCTCCAATCTGATAGCGCCTCCAACCTAGCTTCTAGCTCCTAATAGCTTCTTGTTCCTAGTAGTAAGGCCAGGAGCGCCCCTAGTAGCGTCCGATCGCTCCTAGTAGCGCATGCCCTTTGCTCCTAGCTTCGCATCTTGCTTGGCATATTGGCATTTTGCTGCCGAAGCTGCCTTTTTCTGACAAATTGCACAAGCTCGACCGGCTCCGCCTTGTTCGTGGAATGTGCCCTCAAAATCTTAGAACAGTGTCTTCTAAAGAAAAACACTTTGTGGTATTGAAGACCAGAACGGAAAAAGAAGGTCACTTTGTATAAGACACACGTAAAATAGTCAACCTGGACTTACTGTTTTTTTTGGTGGCACCTCCAGTGTGCATGCACAGCGCCCATGTGGGCCGCCATCTTCCAATAAACATTCCAATTAAATGTTTAATTACTTATTGTTTCTACTAGCTTCTTGTTACTAGTAGTAAGGCCAGGAGCCCCTAGTAGCATCCTTGCTCCTTGTGTGCTTCAACTAGGCTGGTCTCTTGATCCAACTCTACGAAGAGAAGCGGCTAATCCAAGATTTTTCGATCGCATGGGAGGATTTCCCATTCAATGAATGGAGAGTCTTCCCGGAGCTACTGCTTGAAAGAGGGGATGAAGATGAGCACATCGGGATCAAGCGAGATGATCTCGAGTTTCACCGAGCAGAAACTTCAAACTTTTTCCGTTTTGACACCGAAGATGACGAGGAAAAAGTGTTTCAAGAGAGATCTGTGAAGATCCGCCGGATCTTTTGGAACAGTCCACTTCAGGTGGTGGCGATTGCAGATTCTGAGAATCTGGAAAAACCTGAAGTTCTTTTGTTGCTTGACTTGGACAATGGATCTTTGAAGATCGTGGACATCTACTGTGATGGTCCACCAAAGCTGGATATCATTCCAGAGCACGTGGAAACCGTGGAATCTGTGTCTCTTCCGACCGGGACCACAAACACAACCACAGATGAGGTCCAAAGTGAGGCCTCCGCTGAGCTAGATGAGGCTTCGACAGAGAGAAATCGGAAGATCGACAAAATCATTTCTGTGATGGCTTTTGAGAAACAGAAATTCCCAGAGCTGCGCAATCTGCAAAGTGGCTTGGTTTGTTTATGGAGGAGCGATCGACTGTGTATTGTGACGTATGGAGATTGGAGAGTTTATGATCAAATTTTGGTGGAACGAGAGAAACATGAGAAGGAGAGATGGACCGATCGAGACATACCACTTTGTGCCTCAATTCTACCAGAACCGTCGTCCACGACCTCTGGAGGCTGTAGTTTGTTGGCCTCATATGCCTCGATGATCATCCGCTGGTGGCGTGTGTCATTAAAAAGTTGCTTTCAGCAAGCATGTGTGGTTCTGAGCTCTCCAGTGTATTCTTTGAGTTTGCTCTCTTGTGATGGACCCACCACATCGCTCGCCGCGCGCTCGCTGGAGAGCTCCCGAATGGTGGCCTTCGGGTCGACGAGTGAGAAGAACACGCGCACGTCTTCCATCGGAACACATAGCCAGCGTGGCAGCCAGTTACACAGCCAGTCACTTCAGGGACGCATCCAAGGCTCACTGAACTCCAGACTGTCGATCAGTGATCCAAAAGTCACGACTTCACTGGAAGGCTTGGCGGAAAGTCCTGCTACGATCTTGATCTTTTGGATGAATTTGTACCACGTTTTTGTTTGTTTAACGAAACAGACATGTTTCTCACTCATTTATAGTTGGATTTGTTTTCGGTTCCGTTTTCACCACATGTTTCTTTGTTTTTAATTTAAGGGCTGCCGCCCCTGCCGCCGACCCCGATTCTCAGGTCCGGCTTTTCCTCCATTGGTTGGCAACACGTCACTAGCAACTCTGTAAAGATGGCCGACAGAAGACCGAGAGGAGCCTACATCACTCCACTTAGAACATCATCCTTGCAAACAATATGTTTCGGTCGATTTCATCAGCTCCAATGCCAAAATCGAATCAGACAATATGGTTAATAATACGACAGATAAGATGACATGACATGGTCTAGTTAGGATTTAGCAGGATCAGTTAAAACATTCCCGCCACAGCCTCCCATGGTCCCGCCACAGCTTTTCCCAATCTAATTCTGGTCCAAAACAAGCCTCCCACGGTCGCACTTTGGCCCCGAACACCTGGTCCCGCCACAGCTTTTCCCAATCTAATTCTGCTCCAAAACAAGCCTCCCATGGTCCCACTTTGGCTCCCTAACGCCGCCTCTGAATCCCTAGAAAAAAAGAAGTTTGTGTCCATTTGTCTCGGTCATCTTAACCCCGAACACCTGGTCCCGCCACAGCTTTTCCCAATCTAATTCTGGTCCAAAACAAGCCTCCCACGGTCGCACTTTGGCCCCGAACACCTGGTCCCGCCACAGCTTTTCCCAATCTAATTCTAGTCCAAAACGAGCCTCCCATGGTCGCACTTTGGCTGCCTAACGCCGCCTCTGAATCTCTAGAAAAAAAGAAGTTTGTGTCCATTTGTCTCGGTCATCTTGGCCCCGAACACCTGGTCACCTGGTCCCGCCACAGCTTTTCCCAATCTAATTCTGCTCCAAA